TTTTTTAAAGCAGCTATTTGTTACTAACAAGCACACCCCAAAGTAATTCCTCCCCCGAGGTGAATCTCTAACCCGCTCACTGGGACTAATTTGAGCGCCAGACCCACCTGATCCCACAGCTGACCCCGCTGTGGCTGCCCGTCAGTGCTGGGCTGCTGGGTGCGCCCGTGATTTCTGTTCATTACGTGTTATTCACGTAGTACTAGGTAGTTTTTAATGTATCATTCGAGTAGATTGCCTTGTTTGCCACTTGGAACTACGAGACCTTACTACTGAACTTTCCAGCCAGGACAGGCTTCCAGCGCTCTGATTAACCCCGGTATTTAACACGCGGTTACACTGGGCTCAGCCGGGCTGCTGCTCACACCTGGCTGTTGGTTATTTATTTACCTGCGGGCGGCACACGCTGTCCGCGGCCTGGGGGCTCTCCCTGTGTGAGGGGCGTGAGCAGCCCCTGCCCCGCCCGCCCTCCTTCCTTCCTCCCAACGCGGCTGCTGCTCCAGCCCACGGGGAAGGCTCCTCGGAGCACCGCCTGCGTCCCAGCTGCTATCGGAGAGCTCCGACCGGGCCGTCCCCCGGAGCTCGGGCCGCCCCTCGGAGCCGCCCCTCAGAGCCGGGCCCGCCTCTCGGAGCCGCCCCTCGGAGCCGCGCCTCAGCTCTAACGGCCGCGGAGCCCGCCTTCGGCGCGGGTCGAACCACCGCGCCGGAACGGGGGGAGCCTCGGCATGGACCCTTCCTGCCCCGCCTGTTCCAATGGCGCCCCTCCAGGGGGTCTTTTCCAAACACCCCTCTGACTCTGCGCAATGGTCGCGGCTCCATGACGCGCGCGCGCGCGCGGCCGCGCTCGAATCTGAGCGCGGGGCCGCTTTGGGGGGGCGGGACTGACCCGGGACCGCCGTGAGGGGACGGGGCTGACCCGGGATCCGCCTGAGGGGACGGGGCTGACCCGGGATCCGCCTGAGGGGACGGGACTGACCCGGGATCCGCCTGAGGGGACGGGGCTGACCCGGGACCGCCGTGAGGGGACGGGGCTGACCCGGGATCCGCCGGAGGGGACGGGGCTGACCCGGGATCCGCCTGAGGGGACGGGGCTGACCCGGGATCCGCCGGAGGGGACGGGGCTGACCCGGGATCCGCCGGAGGGGACGGGGCTGACCCGCGATCGCCGTGAGGGACCCACCGTGAGGGGGCAGGACTAGCCCACGATCGCCGCGAGGGGACAGGACTGACCCACGATCGCCGTGAGGGGACCCGGAGGACCCGGGCCATGATCGCCGCCTCCGGCCGCCGCCGCGCCCGGGGCGAGCCCCCGGTGCGCTCGGTGCCGCTGAGCAGCGTCCCCGCGGGCACGCTGACGCCGCTGAAGGAGCTCCTGCAGGCCCAGGCTCCTGTCCCGGCCGGGCAGGGCCCGCCGCCCGCGGGGCCGTGGCGGGGGGCGCGGGATGTCCCACACGGCCGGGCCGGGCCCGCGGCAGAGCGGCCGCTGAAGCGCCGCGCCCCGGAGCCGCCCGGGCAGGAGACGCCGGCCAAGATCTTCCAGCGGATGAAGGAGCGGGCGGAGCGGCAGCGGGGCCGCGGGGGCGGCACCGACGGGATCCTGACCCGCGGCACCGGGCAGGGCCGCACCGGCCCCGACGGGATCTTCCTGACCCCCAGCACTGGGCAGGGCCGCGCCAGGCACAGCCGTGCCACCGAAGGGATCCTCCTGACCCCCAGCACCGGGCAGAGCCAGGGCACCGACGGGATCCTGGCCCCCAGCACCGGGCAGAGCCGCGGCACCATCGACGTAATCCTGACCCCCAGCACCGGGCAGAACCAGGGCACTGACGGGATCCTGAGCCCCAGCACCGGGCAGGGCCAGGGCACCAACACCAACAGGATCCTGACCCGCAGCACCGGGCACAGCCGTGCCACCGACGGGATCCTGACCCCCAGCACCGGACAGAGCCAGGGCACCAACACCGACAGGATCCTGACCCGCGGCACCGGGCAAAACCAGGGCACCGACAGGATCCTGACACGCAGCACCGGGCACAGCCGTGCCACCGACAGGATCCTGACCTCCAGCACCGGGCAGGGCCGGGGCACCATCGACGTAATCCTGACCCCCGGCACCGGGCAGAGCCAGGGCACCGACGGGACCCTGACCCGCAGCACCGGGCACAGCCGTGCCACCGACGTGATCCTGACCCCCGGCACCGGGCAGGGCCGGGGCACTGCCCGGCCAGGACATGGTGAGTGCCACGGGCTCTCAGTGACTCCCGGAGAATGGTTTGTTTTCCTTCAAAACACTTGGAATAGAAGGTACAGAGCTGTAATTCTGAGTTCAGTTCACTTGTGCTGCAGTGACATCCCCAGTTGTCACATTTTCGTAAGTCTTTTAATTATTTGCTTACGTCAATCCATAGCCTGAATGACAGGAATTATTAATAGTTCCTTTTCCAGAAGAGTTTTGGTTATTCTGGAACACACTGGGGTCAGCTGTTTACGGGCAAGAACTCTAAATGCTTTGCCAATTAGTCTGAATCCTTCCTCCTTGGAAGGACCATGGAGAGGACAAACCCTGCGAAGCTCCATGAACCAGGGACCAGCAGAACAGAGCCTGGTCACACCTGGGAAACAATGGTTGTTCCACGGGAGAGCTGTCCCAGGTGTGAACACTGTCCCTGTGTGTCCTGCTCATGGCTCATCCAGGCTCTGCAAAAGGTGCCAGTGGCACCTTGGTGGGTGTAGAAGACATTGGCAACCAGCACTTGTTGTCCCCCTGATGGCTGGGGTTAAACAGAAAGGTTGGAATGGTGGGGTTTTTAGTGCTGAAAGGTGTCTGTGGCACAGCTGATTTCCCCGCTCCTGACAGAGAGGATTCCCTCCTGTCGTGTTCTCACTCCCTTTGCCCCAGCCTGGCTCTAACTGCTCCCTGCCTTGTGTCTGTGAGTGGGATTGATCCACTGCAACACCTCCAAAGCCACTTGGTACCTAAAGATCAAACCAAACAGTTGCTTTAACTGCTCCTACAGCCGGTACATAAGGGAGGGAGGTTCATGGAAAACTTGTTTGGGTGTGAAATCCCACTGGGCTATTTCCCTGATGGCTTTGCCAGTGCACCTTTAGTTTTTTCCTTACAGACACAGTGAGATCCAGGGCACCCTCAGGGAGTTTGCAGGTGACATGGAGCTGAGTGTGACCCTTTTTATAACAAGGGTGGGGAGGCCCTGGCCCAGGTTGCCCAGAGAAGCTGTGGCTGTCCCTGGATCCCTGGAAGTGTCCAAGGCCAGGTTGGAGCAACCTGGGCTGGTGGAAGGTGTCCCTGCCCATGGCAGGGGTGGCACTGGGTGGGCTTTGAGGTCCCTTCCAACCCAAACCAGTCTGGGATTTTGTGGGGTATTTTAATAAGCGTATGAACAAACCACATTCCCCCGGGAATGTTTCTGTTCCCCAGACCAAGTTTTCCCTGTGGTTGCTTTGCAGGGTCAGTGTTCCCACGGGTCCCTCGGGCCCCGCCCACTGCAGAGCCCCCTGTGCTGGAGACCCCCCAGAAGTTCTTCCTGCGCATAAAGGAGAAACTGCAGCAGCAGCAGCAGCACAAAGGTACGTGGGACTGCCCTGGGAAACACTTCACAGCCTTCCTCAGCTCACAGAACCGAGGCACTGGTGAGGCTGGAAAAGCCCTCTGACCCCATCGAGTCCAGCCATCCCAAGGCCACCACTGCCCCATGTCCCCAAGGGCTCCACCACAAGCCCGTCCCAATGCTTAAGTATCACTAACTTCTTTGTTGCACCTTTTTTTTTTCTAATGTGCAGATCCAACACCTTCAAACCCCATCCAGCAGAACGTTCCTCCTTCCACAGCCATGGAGAAGCCTTTAGTCAGAGCTGCCTGTGCTGAGCAGCCCAGGGCTGAGCCTCCTGAGGAAGTGGACACCAATAAGGAGGATGATGTGGACATTTTCCTGGTGGAACCAATAGATGCCGATGGTGAAATGTCTCAGAGTGCAGGGACTAGTTTTCTGAATGTAAATTCCACCCCTTCGAAAAACGAGGATCAGGTAACAGAAAAGCGGGGAAATGGAGGAGCAAAACATACAGAGCTTCATCAAGACAGAAGAGAGTTGCAGCCCAGTAAAAAACAAGCTGCTCTGGGAGTGGAAGAGACCGTGGAGAGTAATTCCCCAAAGCCCTCCCAGTGCTTCTGCAGCATTATGCTGTCTAGTCCCACAGTCCACATTCCAAAGAAGCAGAAGCTGACAGAAAGGCCTGAGGACCCTTTGGACAAACGTCATACCGACCAACCTGCTGGCAAAGCAGACAAAGAGGTGGGAGAAATTAATCCTGTAGGGAAAAGAGATTCCTCTGGGCTGTGTGTAGCTCGTAGTTGTGATTTTTCTTGTCAAAAGCAAGGAGCACTCAGAAGAGAACAAACCACTGTTTCATTAGATTTCACTGGTAAATTTTCCCATCAAAAAGATTTTTTTTTACCTTACTCCAAGATGACAAATGTTCAGGTTTTGGGTGTTTTTTTTTGTCTAAAAGAGGCCCTTTTGGTTTAGTGTGCACAAGCCACAGTGTGGGCTGAAAGGGTCCCAGTGTTGGTTCCAGCTCTTGGCTGCCCAGTCATATCCAAGGAGGAGAGACCTTTCCCAGCTGTAGGCTAGGGATGAATCCATGAATCTGCCCAGCTGATGAGGAGGTGAAAGGCTTGGCTTTCCTACAGAACATCTGGTCTCCTTTGGAATCAAGTGGGACCAGAATCTTTTCCTGGGAGAGCAGTCTGCAGCCTGGCAGTATTCCCCCCTTTCTGTTTGGAAGGCAGTGTATCTGGAAGCATGCTGCACCCCTGGGATTCCCTGGAAACCTGGCACAAGCACACCTGCCTGAGGCTTGAGTTTCCCTTGTTCTCTGGAGGAATCTGGGGTTGCAGTCCCTTCAAATTAAGCGAGTGACTTGTTTTGTTCTCCCACGTGGCCAAGTGTGTTTGATGTGTTTCCTGTATTAAAAAAAACAATTCACCTTCGTGGTGAGCTTTGACTGAGATAAGGATCAGATGCCCTTTAATAGTCAAGATTTGTAGCCAAGGAGATGGGATGTTGTTACTGGATCTGAGCACTGAGGAGGTGCTGGCTAATAAATACAACTTTCAATGCTTTATTTTCTTTTTTTTCTGTAACAGAAAAGCATCTGCCTGAGCAGCTGGAGGATTAAAGTGATGGAAGGCAACACGGCGATTTCTCTGGAGGGCAAACGGCAGTAAGACCCCGTTTTGTGGTTGAAGTGTAGTGTAAAACAGGCCCAGCCTGGGGCACCCCCCACCCAGGGATGGTGCAGAGCAATTCCTCTGTGTGGGCAAGAGGTGGCCAGACAAGGCCAGAGCCGTTCCTGTTCCAGGCTAGGGAAGGAAAGCAGCACAGAGCACGTCCTGCCAGCACCTGCATCCCTCAGCAAACGGGCATCACTGCCACTCCCCTTGGGACAGCAGAGCTCCAGGTCAACCCCCCTTCTTTGCTGCAAAGGAAAGGTTGTGTTCCCCTTGCTCAGGCTCTGTCTCTCCCCAGGGACATGAAGGGCCTGCTGTGGCACAGCAATGCCATCACCGAGCGCGTGGCACACAACCAGCTGAGGACGTCCTCGGGCAGCCTCTACCTCCTGCAGGGCAAGATCGACTCTGCCACCATGAGGAGAGAGGGTGAGGGCTGGGGCAGAGCAGCACTGCCACTGCTCAGGGGTGCCCTGGGGAGGGGAGGGATGGACCTGCCCAGCTGGGCTGGGATCCTGTTCTCTGGCATGTTCTGCAGTAACGAGCTGCAGGTTAGTGCTTCCAGGCAGCCCCGGGGGCACAGAGATCAGCTGTGGCACAGATGAATGAATCCTTAGAATCACAGGATCTCCTGAGCTGGAAAGGACCCCCAAGGCCCATCCAGTCCAAGCCCTGGCCCTGCCTAGGACACCCCAACAATCCCCCCCTGTGCCCCAGAGGATCATCCAAACCCTCCTGGAGCTCTGGCAGCCTTGGGGCCGTGCCCACTGCCCTGGGCAGCCTGGGCAGTGCCAACCACCCTCTGGGGGAAGAACCTTGTCCTGAGATCCAACCTGAGCCTGCCCTTGGCATTATTTCCCTTAACACAGGTGTGCCCCGGGTGTGTGATCCCAGGTTTTAACTGAACACACCTGCACTCTGCTCTTTCAGGCCCAAAGATGTGTCTGTGTCTTCAGTGTTTCCTTCTTAATTCCTGGGATACCTGCTTGATAAACACCTGACCTGGCTGCTCTCTGACTGGAAGTTTTTATTAGTTCCTCTGCTAAATACTTGTATTTGCTTTCATTTTACCATTCTGAGAAGTGACAGCAATAGGTTTGTGAGCAGAGTGGCTCGAGTGCTGCAGAGGCTTCCTAAAGCCTGGGAGTGAATGGACTGTGCTGGGATGGGTCAGTTCCTCTGATCTTTGGACTGAATATGCTTGTCCTGGATGTTTTCTCTACCCTCAGTGATTAAAAGTCTTGCTGAGCTGTTGCTGATGTCCCTCTGTCCCCCCAGGGTTTCCCTACCGCTTCATCAAACGATTCACCTTCGGCTTTTCCAGGAGGTGGAAGGAGTATGTCCAGGAGTTCCTCGAGGAAAGGAGGAGGTAATTTCTCTTTCATTGCAATGTTCTTTAAAGTATTCATTGAGGTTTTGCTTTTTAAGAATATTATACCAGAGAAGTGTGAAAGGCTACAGATGTGTGCATGAAGCCACTGCTGTGCTGTGCCAAGGGGCTTCTGCCCACAGGAAGGCTTCACTTTTACATCATTTGTTAAGGAACAGCTCTTTTAGATGCTTATTCTTTCTTTTCTTAAACTCCAAATCATTAGGAAAGACCGAAAACAGAACAGTGGTGTGGATGAAGAGAGTGACACTGTGGTGGAAGGTGATGTGTTGGAAACTGCAGAAGGCTCAAAGAAGAAACCTGGAATGAGGAACACCACCTATGAAGTATTGCCAAGGAATGATGAAAACACCTGTGAGTGTTTGATAATCATTTCCTTTGGAAAAGACAACTGGGGGTGGACAGAATGGGTTGTGGAAAAGCTCCTTATGTTGGTGTTGTTTCCAAGGAATTGCTGTAAAGCCACAACCTGTTGAGCCCCCTGGTTTTGCTCAGCCTCAGAGAGCAGTCCCAGCCTTGTGGACACTGACAGCTTTGGGCTTTAACTCGCACCTTTCTCTGGGTTCTCTGTCCAGTGGGGGTTTGGCCAAGCTCCACTGTGCTGTTTGTTGATGCTGCAATCAGATTTCCTTCCTAGCACTATAAAAGCTCCTTTATTTTTTTCTCTCCTCACTCCCATTTATTTGTCTCTCATCATCCACGTTTATTTTTCGCTCCCTTTTCTCTCAACGAGGAGCTGTTCAGTGTGACAACTTCTCTTTATCATTCTCCCTCCCTCCATGACTTTGCCACTATTTATAACCTTGTAAACAGAGTGAAAGTCCTCACAGAGAGTGGTATAACCTGTGAAGGTGATCACTTCAGTGCTGTTTTTCCAATCAGAACACTTTCAAAAGAACCACTTGGGCTAAGTTTTACATTGTCCACGTAGTCTGGTTTAAACACCACATTGCTTGTGAGGTGTGCAAGGCTGAATTTTCCATGCAGTGTCTGGGACAAGCCCCTTATTTCCTGCTTTTCCCCTGCAGACACCACCCCAAGGCACAGCTCCCAGGGGAAGGACTCGAGCAGGGTTTGCACTCGCAGCGGGAGACAGGTCAGACCCCCCATGAACTTCTGGTGTGGGCAACGAGCCTTTGTGGATCAGAACCTTAATGTCACCCTGGAAGAGGGTGGAGTGGATTATCTCAGCCTGGTGAGGTTCCTTTGCATGTTGGTGCTTAAGTGTGTCTTAAATATAATGAATAAACTTGGCAAGGCGTGTAATGGAACCGGTGCAGCTCTCAGAGGTACCTGGAAGGGAAGGAAGCCTTGGGAGCAGGATGAAAACATTGTAAAACAAACTAACAGAATTGCCTTAGCTCTGTGTTATCAGGGAATTGTTGTCTGACAAATGGGGACAATGGGGAACTGGTTCTGGAAAAAGACTGGGGTTTTTGGAAAGATAATGTATCAGACAGGCAGTTGCTGAGGTCCCACCTCAAATCCTGAGGTCCTTCACTGCAGGATAGCCCTGGAGGGGCTGGAGCGTGTCCAGGGAAGGGAATGGAGCTGGGAAGGGGCTGGAGCAGCAGGAGGGGCTGAGGGAGCTGGGGGGGCTCAGCCTGGAGAAAAGGAGATTAAATTAGGTTTAGATTAAATTGTTTTATTTTGAAGATGCTTAGTAGTGAAAAATCCCACAAAAAGACCAGTTTCATCTCTAAGAAGAACAAACCAAAGGAAGTCATGAAGACAACAGAGGAATTGCCAAAAAGCCAAAATAAAGGTAAAAACTTTTTTTCCCTATTTTCAAGTGGTTGATGGAATCAGTGGGATTGTGAGTTGGGTGCTGGAGCAGTGGGGTGGGGTCTGTTAACGCAAAGGATTTATTTAAGTCTTTTAATGGTCAGCTGCTTTTTCTCTGAAGAGTCATCAGAGCAGCACTGATGTGTAGTTTTACAGCTCCAGATATAAACTGTGCTTGTCAAAGTGTTCTCTAACTGCATAATTGGGACACACGTTTCTTGGGTCACACTGAAATGAAGGGATCCAGTGACTTGGGGGCCTGGCTTTGCTTTTTAATGGGGATGAAATAAGAGACATGACATGCCTGTGTAGGCGTGGAAAAAAAAAGTCTGTTAGTGGAGTTTTTGATAAAAACTTGTTGTTAATAAAATGTGGGCAACAGTAGAAGCCTGCAAACAGTGTGAAATGTCAAGCAGAAGTTTCTCTCCTAAAGCAGCTGCAATGTTTCCTGCAGAAAGGCTCTTTGGAGCAGGAGCAGAGCTTTTGGGAGGTGTGTGCCCAGGCAGTGTTCGGTAGTCACGGACAGCCCTTCCCGGAGCTCTGAGTTTGTAGTGCCTGGCAGGTAAAGCTCTGGCAGGGGTTGCAGGTGCCCTGTGCTGAGAGCACGGCCACAACTCACCCTGCACCCTGCCATTGTCTCTTCCAGGGAAGAGCAGGGAGAGAGGAGCCAGCTCCAAACGGGAATCCGAGCCTGCTGGAAGCAGGGAGAGAGGAGCCAGCTCCAAAGGGGAATCCAAGCCTGCTGGAAGCAGGGAGAAGGGAGCCAGTTCCAAACGGGAATCCGAGCCTGCTGGAAGCAGGGAGAGAGGAGCCAGCTCCAAATGGGAATCCGAGCCTGCTGGAAGCAGGGAGAGAGGAGCCAGCTCCAAACGGGAATCCGAGCCTGCTGGAAGCAGGGAGAAAGGAGCCAGCTCCAAACGGGAATCCAAGCCTGCTGGAAGCAGGGAGAAAGGAGCCAGCTCCAAACGGGAATCCAAGCCTGCTGGAAGCAGGGAGAGAGGAGCCAGCTCCAAACGGGAATCCGAGCCTGCTGGAAGCAGGGAGAGAGGAGCCAGCTCCAAACGGGAATCCAAGCCTGCTGGAAGCAGGGAGGCCCGGCGGTTCCTGTCGGAGGAGGAGGAGAGTGACTCTGCAACCAGGGGCACAAAAACCAAATCCCAGCCTCCTGCCAGGGTGCCTTCCTCAAACAGCAAAGTGCCAAACAGACGCAGCCCCAGAATCCTGGGAATGGCAAAGGAGAAGCGAGGAGCAGACGCTGCAGAGCTGCCCGGGTACGAGCAGGCTTCCAAGTACTCCCTGAGGTCAGCCAGGAAGCCTTTCCCAGCCAAGCACTTCACCGAGGAATCCTCAGGCAAGGATGAGGGAGAGGGATCCAGTGATGATGATACCCCACTGCTGATCAGAAGGAAAAATAAATCTGTGTCAAAACCGGGGCCTCAGAACTGCAGATCTCGCTCTGACTCTGACAGATCCCAGGATGGTGCAAACAAGGCGTGGGGTGAGCCAAGGACAGGAAAAGCCTCCCGGAATGTGCCAGTGAGGCTCAGTGGGACCAGTGACGAGTCTGAGCTCACCACCGAAGGAAACACTCCTGCCAGTGGGTCCAGAGACTCCCTCCTGCCTGGGGAGGCCGTGAGGACACGGAGCAGAACCAACCCCCCCAGGTGCTGGCTGGATTTTGACAGCGAGCCCGAAACCAGCAAGGAGGAACTTCCCACGAAAGACAGGAATGCAAAAGTACCTGGTAAAAAACCAGAGGCTGGAGCTCCCAGCACTGCCAAGTCTGCAGCAGCCAGATCGAGAGAGCCTGAGAGGGCAAAGCAGCAGAAACCTCTGGAGCTTTTTCCCAGAGCAGCTGATGGTTGGTCTGAGAAGGAATTACAGAAGCTTTACAGGCAAGGGGTCGCTCTGTGTTCAGAGGGAACAGTTCCCGTCGGGCACCGGCAGGGGTGGGGTGGCCTGCTTTGGGATTTTCCAGATTCCCTCTCTTGCACGTGATTTTCAAGGGTTCCTTTATGTTTTAGTTCCCTCTTGTCCCCAAGTTAACCATCAGTGAAACAAAGGAGAAGCTGGGTATTCTCTACAATAGCTGGAGGTGTGTGAGCCTGCAGCAGCCCCTGTCACGGTGGGAAGGGAGAGGAGCACTGCTTAGGCAGGATTTTGTGAATCTACTCCTCTGCTGGTTTTCAAAACCACATATTTAATCTCGTTAAAAATAAAAACTCATTCCTATGAGTAACATTGAAAACCATGAGTAGGTAAATGACATGGTAGTATTTGTGTGTATGATGTGGACCATGGGTCAGAGGGGGCAGGTTCTGTCCCCAGACTGGAGTGACATGTTTAACGTGCCATGTTTATGTCAGCAGGTTTGGTAAAGGGGAGAGGAACTGCAGGAATGTGCATGTTCTAAGTGTCTGGAGGAGACACCAGAGGAAAAAATTCTTTGCAGAGAGGGTGCTGAGCCATTGGAATGGGCTGCCCAGGGAAGGGGGGGATTCTCCATCCCTGGAGGTGTTTAAGGACAGACTGGATGTGGCATCAGTGCCATGGGCTGGGAACCACGGCGGGGTTGGATCAAGGGTTGGACTGGATGATCTCGGAGGTCCCTTCCAACCCAGCTGATTCTACGATTCTATGATCCCAGACTGGTTTGGGATGAAAGGACCTTAAAGCCCATCCCATCCCACCCCCTGCCATGGGCAGGGACACCTTCCATTCTCCCAGGTTGCTCCAAGCCCTGTCCAACCTGGCCTTGGACACTTGCAGGGATCCAGGGGCAGCCACAGCTTCTCTGGGCAACACTGGAGAAGAGGCAGAGCCCAAATTCCCTAAATCCCCGGCTCAGGGCCCTTCCCGGGCGGGCTGTGCTGGCAGTGCCCGGGCTGCCCTGCTGAGGCCCCGCTGTGTCCCTGCAGGGCCATCGCGGCGCTGCCCAAGCACCGCAGCGGCTTCTGGCAGGAGGTGGCCATGGCCGTGGGGACACGCTCTGCCGAGGAGTGTCACAGCAAGTACCTGCACGAGCAAGAGGCCAAGGGCTCCAAACCACAGGCCAAGAAGGCCAAGGCAGGAAAACCTGAGCAGAAAGGTACTGGCATCTTGATTCTGGGGGTTTGGGGGTTGTTAAATGGTTTTGAGACCCGGAGGGGCTGGAGCATGTGCAGGGAAGGGAACGGAGCTGGGAAGGGGCTGGAGCAGCAGGAGGGGCTGAGGGAGCTGGGGGGGCTCAGCCTGGAGAAAAGGAAGCTCAGGGGGGACCTTCTGGCTCTGCAACCCCCTGACAGGAGGGGGGAGCCGGGGGGGGGTCGGGCTCTGCTCCCAGGGAACAAGGATCAGGAAGAGAGGGAATGGCCTCAGGCTGTCTCTGGACAGTGACTGTTGTCCTGCAGATAAGAAGGAGCTGGTGATAAGTGCCAGGGTGGGAACCCTCAAACGGAAGCAGCAGATCAGGGAGTTCCTGGAGCACCTGCCCAAGGACAACCACGACGACGTGTTCACCACGACACCCTTCCAGAACAGGAGAGTCAAGGTACAGCCGGGCAAACTGCTCCAGGGGGTGTCTGGGGGGGTGTTTGTGTGGGTCTGGGTGTCTGTGTTTGTGCTTTCCCAGTGGGTGTGGGACCAGACTGGTCTAGTTCCATCAGTAATGCCCTGTGGATCTGGGGGAGGAGGGTCCTTCCCTTGCTGTGCTGCTGCCATCCTTTGCTGTGGTGAAGCACCTGGCACACATCCAGCCGTGGCTCCTGGGAAGTCAGAGCTCCCAGGCAAATTCAGCACGTGCTGTAACCAGCAGTGTTGGCACAGAGAAATCCCCAGGACTAGGGATTCCTGGGACTGGGATGAGCAACTGGCTGTGAGGGCATCGATGCTTCCATGTCCAAGACACCCTGGTTTTGCAGAGGGATTCTCCAGACATGACTCTTTTAATAGAATATAATTTCAGCCAGTGGTTCCAAAGGCTTCCTCAAATTCATTCTGCTTGTGCTGGGCAGAAGAGCCTGACTCCTCCTGTAGTGTCCAGTGGCACCTCCAGAGAGAAATCCTGTGTATGAGAGTCAGGAGTGGATTCCCCTTCCCTGAGCCAGCACAGCCCCTCCTTGGAGCCCAGGCAGGCTCTTCCCATCTGGAATTTCCTGTGCTAAGTTCTAGAGCCAAATCCTTTGCTGTGTGAACAACAATCTCCTCTTGTGTGTTCTGAACTTCCATCTGCTGACTTTGTCCTCCTCTCCTCATGGACCCTGTCCTGGATCCTGTCCTGTCCCTGCTCCCAGTTTCAGGTGTGCTTTGGATCTTCTGTGCTGCTCCTCCCTGAGCCTTTCCAGTGCCTCTCTCTCTTCCAAACGCGAGGACCACAAGTTCCCTGAGTAACCCTTCTGAGCAGCCATGGTCAGCTTTGAGCTCGGAATTCTAATCAGAGATCACTCTCTGAGTGTGTGGTGGCATCCAAACTGTCGCCCAGGGGCTGGGCAGCACCGGGAGCAGCGTGTGGAGCGAGGCAGGGCCGGGGATTGGCCGCTGGGCCGTGTCCCTGTCCCTGCACAGGGACAGGGTGGAGTCACAGCCACCGCAGTGAGGAAGGGCTGGAGTGACTGTGGAGGAGAGGGGAGAGTCTGGGCTGTCTCTGGGGACAGGGACACCCCTGGCTCAGGCCCCTGATGGCTCTGGGGTGGCTTTGCAGCTGCCGCCGCTCCGGAACGACGACCCCGAGGACTTTTCCCTGGGGGAGCTCTCGCTCAGCCCCAGCTCAGCCGTGTTCCCGCTGGCCAAAACCCCCCAGTGCGAGCACATCAGCCCGGGAATGCTGGCCCCCGTCAACAGGTAGGAGCTGGGAAACCCCCCAGTGCAGCACACCAGCCCGGGAATGTGGCCCCCAGCAGCAGGTAGGAGCTCGTCTGCCAACCTGGGCCTTTGGCTCTTCCCCAAGGTCCCTTTGAGGGAGGCAGCTCCTGGAAGTGGGACACCAGGTCCCTCACAGCCCCTCCTGCCAGCCCTGCTCCGGCCCCTGTGGCCGTGGGCACTGGTGGAGCTGCCCAACTCGGTGTGGGCTTTGGGGATGGCACTGGGATGGGCTTTGGGCCTCAGCACAGCAGTCTGACCCTGTTACCCAGGGCTTCAGGCTCTGCTAAACTCACTGGAATCATCTGGAAACCTGGAGTCAGGGGTTTGGCTGAGGGACAGGAACTCCATATGGGAAGAGGAAGAAGTCCCGTCTGACCCTTTCATTAGCATTTCCAGCACTGATCTCACCCGACTCTGTCTGTAACTGACCCAGAGCAGTTTTCCTGGCCGTGCCCATTCCCTGAGCTGGAGCTGGATGTGATGCCATGGCTGCATCCAGCAGGTTCCACGGGGGCTGTGGCAGCCCCACCGACGTGCTCCTTGTGCCCCGCAGGAAGGAGCTGGACAGACACGTGTTCCGGATGCAGAAGCACACGCAGGGCAGCAGGGGCACCTGGGACAAGGTCCAGAAGAAGTCGGTAATGCTGCTTCCCTCCAGTACTGCCCCCTGCCACCTCAGCCAGGGGCCTGCAGGAGACACATCCCTGGGATGGAGAGCAGGAACCCTCCCCAGCTTCCTCCCAAACCCCGGGGTTTGGTCTCTACTGCTGTGGAGAAAAGTCCCTTTTGTTAGAAAGGAGCTGCTTGTTGTCAGGATTAAAGCCACAGCCTCGGGTCGGGATTTGTAACTGCTTTGGAATTCTGTGGTCTTTAGGTAACATTGTTCTGAACAGTGGGAAAAGAGTAGCCATGGAATATCCAGAGCTGGAAGGGACCCTCAGGGATCACGGAGCCTGACTCCTAATCATGACCATAGCAATGGTCACCTTGTATCCTACTCCCTGAATTTAGGTATTGATTCCTCCACTAGCCCAGCTTTTGCAGCTCAGGCTTTTCCATGAAAAGCTATGATCCCAGGAGCAGAAATGTGGCTTGTGCCCCTGGTTCAGAGGGAGCAGTTGTGGCAGCTGAGCAGTTCAAATTTTGGGAAGATGTAGCACAGGGCTGGTGTGGCTCCATCCCAGCGGGACCCCGAGCTGAGCCCGTGTCCTTCCCTCCTTCCCCAGGCTGGAGCCATGCTGGGGACACCTTCCCGCAGAGCCAAGGTCAGCTTGGAGACCAGTGAGTATTCCTGCTTCCTCCTCCTTCATTCCCAGCTCCTTCCACATCCCCACCTTGCTGGGTGCCCTCAATCTTGGCTGTCTGAGCCTCCTCCCCCTGCCCTTCCCCCTCGGACACACCGATGATCCCTGTTTTCCATTGCAGACGTGGCAAAGGACTCAGTGGTGGGGAAGCTCTTCAGGGCTCAGACACCAAACTCCTCAGAGGAGGAAGAGGAAGACCAGGGTTCTTATTTCTCCATGTGATGAATTTTGTGGATCTGTTGGCTCAGCACTTGGGTGCCTCATTCCCAGTCTGTGGTTCAGCCGCCCCTCGGGGAGGGAAGGGCTGGAACTGCAAGATCCATTTGGAAAATCTTCCCCGATCTGGTTTTTATGTATTTTAACCCCATTCCCATCTTGCTGGCACTGTTTGGCTTTTCCATGTGTACATAGTGGCCCTTCCTTGCCCAGCTCCTCCTCTCCTGTTTCTCCTCCTGCTGCCTTTTTCTCCTGGGAAGGAGTAATGTACAGGGGTGCCAATGACTGGCAAGGTCATTTTAAGATAAAATATCTCTTGGGATATGAATGTACAATAAATTCAGGTAAAATCTGGAAGTAACTGAAACTGCTTTTTACTGTCCCTGAGGGAGAGTCTGAATTTTTACATTTCCTTAATGTAATAAACAAGGATGAGCTTATTTTACTCATGGATCCATTGGACTTTGTGGAGCAGCAGAATCCCTGACCTGTCCAGCTTGGGATGGGGCCTCAAGGCTTCATCCCCATGGTTTTGAATCATGGACTCAGGGAATGGTTTGGGTTGGAAGGGCCTCAAAGCCCATCCAGTGCCACCCCTGCCATGGGCAGGGACACCTTCCACTAGCCCAGGTTGCTCCAGCCTGACCTTGGACACTTCCAGGGATCCAGGGGCAGCCACAGCTTCTCTGCCCAACCTGTGCCAGGGCCCTGCCACCCTCCCAGACAGCAATTCCTTCCCAATCTCCCATCTCTCCCTGCCCCCTGGCAGTGGGAAGCCATTCCCTGTGTCCTGTCCCTGTTCCAGGAAGGTGGAACTCCCTGCAAAGAGCTGGGAGCGGGAAGGGATGGGAATGAAGATCCCGGTCCTTTTCCAGGCAGCCACAGCGTGGCAGCAGAGCCGCGCGGGCGGTGCCGGGGACGGATCCCCCGAGCTCCTGCAGCCGGGGCAGAGGGAGCAGGACGGGCACGGGAGGGCCCCCAGGACCAGGGGACCTGCCCCGGGCCCACCCAGCAGCGCCCCGCTGTCCCGGGCACCAGGAACACCGGGCAATTCCCTTTCTTCCCAGGAAACGCGGGGCTCAGCGTTGCAGCCAAGGGCAGGAGCTGCCGGGGGCTCCTTCCCGTGACCCCCCAAAGCTTTGCTTTGCCGAAGCACCGGAGCCATCGTGTTTTGCAAAGGAATCTCGGGATGCTCCCAGCCCGGCCGGTGCCTCCCAGAGCCCGGTGCTTGTGAGGGTTTATTGGGTTGGACACCAATCCCGGTAAAGTGCAGAGCAGGGCCCCCAGTCCCAGCCCCCTCAGCTCCGGGGGGCCGCAGGGCCCTTCCCGCCGGCGCGGGGGGGCTGTGGCAGCAGCTGAGGGTCGAAGCTGTGGCGCAGGTACCGCTGGATCTCCTCGGCACAGTCCCGGCTCAGCCGCGCGGCCGCGGCCACAGCGCTGGGGGAGCTGCAAGAGAGGGCAGGGGGTGAGCGGGGCCCTGGATACGCTGGATACACCGGATCCAGCACCGGGAACAGCCCGGGCTGCCCCGAGCACACCCCGGCAAGGCTGGGGAAGTGCAGGGAAAACAGGGAATGGCAAAGACGCGATGGGGCGGCAGGAGGGAGGGTGCTCAGTGGAAGAGACAGGAAGGCATAAAGAGCAGGGATGAGACTGGGACAGGAAAGCTCCTGGGAGCCCTGGCAGGGACAGAAAGGATCTCTCCAAGCAGCTCTCCCAGCAGGAAAGGCACAGCAGGAAGGATCTCCCTGAACAGCTATCCCAGCAGGAAAGGTGCGGGGAAAGATCTCCCCAGCTACTAGAGCTGGAAAGGTGCAGGAAGGATGGCCCTGGGCATCGATCCCAGCAGGAAAGGTGATGAAAGGAATCCTGGGAGCAGGTCCTGTGCCCCAGGAATGGGGCAGGCAGGCTCTGTGCCCCAGGAATGGGGGAGGCAGGCTCTGTCCCCCAGCAGGAATGGGGAAGCAGGCTCTGTGCCCCAGGAATGGGGAAGCAGGCTCTGTGCCCCAGGAATGGGGAAGCAGGCTCTGTGCCCCAGGAATGGGGAAGCAGGCTCTGTGCCCCAGGAATGGGGAAGCAGGCTCTATCCCCCCAGAAGGTGCAGGCAGGCTCTGTCCCCACAGAAGGTGCAGGCAGGCTCTATCCCCCCAGAAGGTGCAGGCAGGCTCTATCCCCCCAGAAGGTGCAGGCAGGCTCTATCCCCCCAGAAGGTGCAGGCAGGCTCTATCCCCCCAGAAGGTGCAGGCAGGCTCTGTCCCCACAGAAGGTGCAGGCAGGCTCTGTCCCCCCAGAAGGTGCAGGCAGGCTCTGTCCCCCCAGAAGGTGCAGGCAGGCTCTGTCCCCACAGAAGGTGCAGGCAGGCTCTGTCCCCCCAGAAGGTGCAGGCAGGCTCTCCCAGGCAGAGCCCAGGCCCAGGCAGGCCCAGGCAGGCCCGGGGGGTTGTTACCTGTTGGCCAGGTCCCGGGGGCAGCCGAGGCAGTGGCAGAGCTGCAGGGCCCCCACGTAGCTGAGGGGGGGGATGCTCAGGTAGAAGCCCAGCAGGTCCCGCCGGGGCCCCTCCAGCTCCGTGGGCACATCGATGGCAGCTCCCTTCCTGTGCTCCAGCAGGGCCAGGTCCCTGAGCAGAACAGCAGTCTCCTGCTGGCAGGAGCTGAAGAGGATGCGGATGCCAGCCTGGACCAGGGCCGAGAGCGCTCCATCGTAGTACTGAGTGCGCTGGAAACAACGGGACGTTTCTCCTGCAGAGGGAAGGACAGGAAGCACAGTGAAGATCCAGTGTGAGGACTCACAAAGCAAACCAGCTCCAGGATCCCTCACCCTGAGAACTCACAACCAGACACACGGGGAGGGAACACATCCTGGGCTGGACAGAGCTTGGAGCAACCTGGGATAGTGGGAGGTGTCCCTGCCCATGGCAGGGGGTGGAACAAGATGAGTTTTAAAGTCCCTTCCAACCAAACCATTCTGGGATTCCATGAAATCAGGAGAGGTTTGGAAGAGCCACACAAGTACCAATGCACCTGAACACTGTTCCATGAGGGACCAGCAGCACCCTGGAACTGGTGTCATGAGAAAAACTGGACGAAGAGGATGGAAATGAGTGACACCCTCAGCAGTGGGATAAACAGGCAGCTCCAACTCAACCCACTTCCTACAGCCCCCTCGGAGCAGCTGCATCTCCAGGGATCAACTCCAGCAGTGTTCCCATATGGGAACTATCAACAAGTGAGATCTGCCATGAAACCAAAGCTGCACCCTCAACAACTGGATTGCAGTGGTGGAGTTTCATATCCCAGAACATCTGTAATGGAATCAGGATCTGAGCTCCATTCACCTGTGGAGCAGGTACAGCAAGAGCTCTCAGTTACTGTCTAGATGGCCCTGGGAACAGACAGGGGAACCATCTGACTGCGTCATTTGGGTTAGAACAAAGGTCTCTGCATGGATAAGATTGTTGCTTGTTCCTTTATCATACGATCCCAGACCGGTCTGGGTTGGAAGGGACCTTAAAGCCCAGCCCATCCCATCCCATCCCATCCCATCCCATCCCATCCCATCCCATCCCATCCCATCCCATCCCATCCCCTGCCATGGGCACCTTCCACTAGCCCAGGTTGCTCCAACCTGGCCTTGGACACTCCCAGGGATCCAGGGGCAGCCACAGCTTGTCTGAGCAACCTGTGCCAGGGCCTTCCCACCCTCCCAGACAGGAATTCCTTCCCAATATCCCATCTACCCCTCTACTCTGGCAGTGGGAAGCCATTCCCTTGTGCTGCCCCTGGGAACACCCACCTGGTTTGGCCCTGTCTGTCTCCAGGATCACACAGACCCTCTGGAACAGGCCCTGCAGGCGCTGCAGCCGCTGGCTCAGTCTGTTCCTGTTCCCAGGGCCCTGCAATTCCGACTGGAAGGTCCTTTCCACGGCCAGGCGGGTGCTGACGACGTAGTCGGAGGTGCCCAGGGAACAGACCTGCACGTGGAGCCCGTGCACTGCCCGCAGGGAGGAGATCACCTCTGCCCCACAGCTGATCTCCCTGCTGTCTGCCAGGATGCTCAGGGAAGGGCCCTTCCCCGGAGGGTGCCGGCAGAGCCCGGCTGAGGCCGAGGAGGGCTCTGTGGCTGCAGGACACGCTGGATCTGAGGCGCTCCCACGGGGGTTCTTCCCACAGCTCTTCACCTGTGAGGGCTGGAGATCACACAGGGACTGTAACAGACCACGGGGGGGTTCAGTCAAATTAATAAAGGGATGCTTTGCAGTATTAACACTTTCAGAGTGACACTTTAATCCCCTGTATCCCCCTCCCAAATGAGCTGATCTGATTATCCAGGAGTCAGAACGACAAAAGCAGCAGCTTTCACCAATGATTTGAGCAGAAGGTGGACCGTGTACAGGACAGAAGTCAGGCTGGGAAGTGTGAGAGATGAGGAATCCAGCCTCAGGCTGGAGGGAGTTAACTGAGGATGGTGAACAAGTATTTTATAAGCACAAACCCCACAGAATGGGTGGACACTGCTGTTCCACACAGATCCATACTCCTCCATGGCTGACAGTCCCAAGAGACCATCTAATGCCCAGTTTTTATTTACTGACTGCTGAGATACTCCAGGATACCCTGAGAGTACAAAAGCTGCAACAGCAAAGGGAAGGGAGATGGTGTGAAGCAGCACCAGGAATGGCTCTGCTCCTGTGTCACCAGAAGCTGTGGCTGCCCCTGGATCCCTGGAAGTGTCCAAGGTCAGGCTGGATGGGGCTTGGAGCAACCTGGGCTAGTGGAAGGTGTCCCTGCCTGTGGCAGGGGCTGGAATGAGATCACAGAATCAGCTGGGTTGGAAGGGACCTCCGAGATCATCAAGTCCAACCCTTTTAAGGTCCTTTCCCACCCAAACCATTCCAGGTTTCCCTGACTCCTGCTGCTGTGCTGTGACAGCCCCCAGAACAGCCCTGCCCC